ATATATATATATATATATATATATATATATATATATATATATATATATATATATATATATATATATATATATATATATATATATATATATATATAATATATATATAAATATATATAAATATATATAATATATATATAATATATATATATATATATATATATATATATATATATATATATATATATATATATATATATAATATATATATATAATATATATATATAATATATATATATAATATATATATATAATATATATATATAATATATATATATAATATATATATAATATATATATATAATATATATATATATATATATATATAGATAGATAGATATAGATATAGATATAGATATAGATATAGATATAGATATAGATATAGATATAGATATAGATATAGATATAGATATAGATATAGATATATAGATATATAGATATATAGATATATAGATATATAGATATATAGATATATATACCTATACATATAAACATATACAGAAAGGTTCTGTTCCTGAATCTCTACTGTAAAATAAAAAAATATCTGCACCCATCTCATTCGGTAGTTTGCAGACAACAATTAGGCACCTGAATGTTTGTATTTTGATGTCATTAAAAAGAAATTAATGTTAAGGTTTCTCTTCACTTTAGGTTCCATTTCCTAAAAGTTTCACACATGGTGCTGGAATAGTTGTGACACAGTGCCATCTGTTACTTGGTCCACAACAGCGTGCGCACACACACACGCATGTACACTCGCACGCACGCACGCACACACAAAAAGCTCTGCCAAACTTGGATTTTCCTAACTAAGTCGAGTGCTTGTCATTTAGGGCCTCAACATTAAGCTGATGCTGTGGATGATGGTATATTACATGTTAGCCTACTCCAAGTGACTTAGTTGTATTATGGGTGACTTGGCCGTGGCTCTGGGCAATGCATTATTCAAATCATGGCCAATTTGCATGTGGCTCCAGGCGAGACATCATTGCCATTATGTCACTATATGAGCATTACATTTTATGCTGTTCTTTATAAGGATCCTTCATGCCTATGCCACATGCCCTAGAGCATTGCCTGAGGAAGAAGGGGGGATGTGTAACTCTATGATTGGCTATTGTTTTGTATAAAGGATGAATTTTAGCACATTAATCATTCACCTGCCATGCATGGAAGATGTCACGTACCAGAATATGGTGTTTTCTTGCTGCTAATGTAAACCTGTAAGTAACCTTCAGTCATGTCTAAGAGATTATTCTCCTTGTGTCATCTATTCATATTGTCTTTTGGTGCTCTGCCATGTGACTGTCTTGAAGTATGACACACGAAAGAGAAGTACTGAAGCCATGGTGTCAGCAGCCTTGTATATCAGAACATACAATCTTTTCATTTCGTAAAAATAAGATTTGCGAAAATGAATGAAATGTAAAGTACATAATCAGGCTACTACAGGTTCAATATACCAACTTAAATGAATATCATACATCTCTGAATATGCAAAAATAATAAAATCCTGTTTTGCATACAAAAGATAAAATAAAAATTCATATCACTTTGTTAGTGCAGCACAGCTGGTGCTTCACACATTCCACAGATGAGAAAGACTCTGGAGGCAAGCACAGTCTGCCGCACATATTCCCCTGAGCAGAGGCCAAGCGAACCCAAAATTCTCGCAGAGGCACTGGCTTTATTGTCTTTACACACAGATGGCTCCACAAGTACTAAATGACCAGTGAGCTAATTACTAGTACTACCTATCTCACCTGCTTATGCATTTCCTTGATTTTTGGAAATATTTTCTTTTATCTTATATTGATCTTATCAAAATAACATTACAAGAATTATAATATCTATAATAATAATAATAATGATAATAATAATAATAATTATAATAACAGCATTGACATTGATAGAATAAAAAATATATAAAAACACTTCTCCCAAAAGCTCAAGGAAGAGTGAAATCAGGCCAGGTCATATGGTCTACTAAATAACTTGTTTGTTGCTAAGCACTTGTTGAGCCACTTATGTGGCAAGCCATTTTATAAAACAATACTACAGTGAACACTACATTTTTCTAACAGCATGGAGTTAAAATTGATTGTAGACATTCAATCCATTTGAGGAAATCCAGTGATTGATAAGATGAACTACAGTCAGCTCAAGTTTCCTCATTATAATGGTCCAAAATAGCACTTACATCAAACTTGATTTTCCTTGACTAACTTTGAAATAAAATAAATAAAACAAAAACAAGATGAAAAAAGTTAAAGCTGTAAAGTTAAGAGGCCAAGAAAATAAAAACTGGAGACTGCTTAAAAAATTCTCCACATAGCTCAGGCATGTGAAAAGCATTCACAAAATGCTTAGGGAAGCTTGGATAAAACTTATGTACAGTGGAAATGAAACAGGAAAAAACAAGTAGTGGAACGATCAAGAGTAAATGGAGGCTATGAACAGGCTGAAAAGCAGGACCACAGACGAGCCAGCTGCAGTACCAGAGATCAAAACAAGGGAGCAGACAATAACCAATAATAAACAAAATAATAAACATTAATAGCCCTGGACCATTCTCAAAAAAACTGAGCATCTCACAAAAATTCTGAAAGCAATAACTCAAAAAAAAAAAAAAAAAAAATCAGGTAAAAAAGGTACAAAAAACAAAATTCAGGGAAAAGAAAAACAGCAAGGAAAGAAAAGAAAAAAGACAGAAAAAAAATTAAATAAAATATGGAGGGGATGGAGGAGGGACTGGGAAGAGAAAAATGCCAATGATGGAGGTCGTCAAGGAGACGGACTGCAAAAACGGGAGGTAATTTTTGCTCAAGCAGGTTTAGACGAGTACCTGGAAGAAGGATCTGTAGCTGAAGTCAGAGTGAGCAGAGAAGAGATGCATGGGGCCTTTCTGGACAATGGAAGACAAAAGTACAGATGTTCACCGGTCTTTCCGAGAGCCAATTTCATCCCCCCCCCCCCCCATCCCCTCCTTCATCCCACCAAACAAATGGTCAATAATAATTGAAAAATAAAAATCACAACGATCATGACATAAATGGTGACTATATCAGTAATTATGTTAATAATAATAATGAGAAGAAGAACACCAACAACAACAACAAAAACAATAATAAAAATAATAATAACAACAATAAGTATCATAAGCCAAAACAACCAGAATAACAATACAACAAAACAACAACAATCATAATGATAATAACAATAACAATAAAAAATAATAATAGCAAAAACAATAAAAACAATAATAACAACAATGACAATGACAATAATATTAATAATAATAACAATAATAACAATAATAACAATAATAATAATAATAATAATAATAATAATAATCACAATAATAATAATAACAATAACAATAATAATAATAATAATAATAATAAAATAATAATAATAATAATAACAACAATAACAATAACACCAATAATAATACTAACAATAATAACTAACAGTCATAATAATAATAATAATAATAATAATAATAATAATAATAACTGTAATAAAAATAGTAGTAGTAGTAGTAATAATAATAATAATAATAATAATAATAATAATAATAATAATAATAATAATAATAATAATAATAATAATAATAATAATAATAATAATAATAATAATTACTATTATTATTATTATCATTATTATAATAATAATAATTATAATGATAATCATAATAATAATCATCATCATAATAATAATCATAATAATAATGGCAATTGTAAAATAATAATAACAGTAAAAAGAATTGTAATGATAACAAAAATTATTTTTATTAATTATCAACATCACCATTGTTATTAGTTTTATTATCATTATTATCATTATAATCATTATCACCATCACTATCATGTTGATCATCATCATTTACATCATCATTATCATTATTAACATCATCATCATCATCACTTATCACAATCATCATCATCATAACAACAATTATATTAATAATAATGATACATTTCAATTATGACAACCATGTTATTCATAACATAATGGCAATGATGTTGAGAAAAGCAATGAAAATGACAAAGACAAGAAAAAGATATGATGAAGCTGATTAGAACAACTATTTGTTTACAGATAATAAAAACTACATTTTCATGCATGAAAAATTATATATAGAAAATTAACTAAAAGAAAAGTAACAGTGAAAAAGATATAAATCATTAAAAAAACAAACAAACTTATTTCAACATTCATATTTTTAACATTTAGCATAATGTTGACCCAAGTTGTTATGCATTACAAGGAGCATCATTCACAAACAGCAGAAACTGTACGAAGCATTAAAAAAATAATAATAACAAAAATAAATAAATAATCACAGAAATAATAATAATAATAATAATAATAATAATAATAATAGTAATGACAATAATGATGGTAAAACTGAATTAATAGAATGCATTATCAATGCAAGATATTGTTCTCCTTCCTTGTATAATACTCTTAATCATCTACGTAATTTCTTCTCTTGATTAACAGTTCCCTCCTTAGCCTAAAGTACTCAACTAAGCAAATATTTTTATGCACATACTATCCATTTTTAAACACTTGTCTTTTAAAGAAAAAAGTCGATTCTGACTCACAAATATAAACATGTACTTTCTGAGAGTAAAAACCAGCCAAGAATAGTTCTACTAATATTTCTTTTAAAATGCTGAACATCACAAACATTCA